GCCTCGCACCGAGGACCTATCCACATCATCATTTACCCAGAATGCTTTGTGTGTAAATAAAATGGCTCAGTCTGTGTTAAAATATATTTTTCAAAATTAAAAAAATAAACAGCCTACAGTATTTTTACAGTCTTTATTTTACAGTTAAAATATGTTTATCAAATAAAGTTTAATGTTACAACTAATCGTGGATCCCTTTAAAGGTCTGTCATCCAGAATTAGATGCATGAACAACTATTTCGAAAAGGAGAAATATGTTGTAGAAGAGGTCTGTGTACATACAAACTCAAGCATTTAGTGTTTTTATTCTGATAAATTGCTGTGAGTACAAGTAAAAATAAGACMCTGATCTGCTCAATATAAAGAGTAACTTTACTACTACTTGTGTGTTTTATGTTCTGATTTGCCACACAGACACCAGCTTTGACAAAATAGAAACAAACTACTTGTCTCTAAACAAATAAGGTCAGATGACTCTCTGGTCCTGGAAGGCAGTTTTGACGATGCATTCAAAGCTGTTTGGATCAATTTAACAGCAGAAATTAACACTAAATAGGAACAGGAGGTTTTCTGTGACACAAACTGTAGTTTTGTGATGAAATTACTAACATTATATACCACTACCTGYAGCTGTAAATGCTTGCAGACTTATCTAAAAGAAATCTGAAAAASCAGATCCTAATTTGTATTGACCAAATATATCATATCACACTTACATGTTTCCACTCATGTAGGTAAGGCAAGTAAATTTTGCCATTGGCATCGATGTGCTTGCCAGTTTTAATCATCATGGTACTCGTTGGTTTAACAAAGCATATAGGAGGGTTGTAGGGATACGTGTCCAGCAGCCACAAGCACACTGGGATGTTGTAGACATTACCTACAGAACATACACACAATCAGTGCCTTATAACCTTTTAAAAAAATGTCTCATTTATAAACATTTGACAAGTGGTATGTTATATCCAGGCATGTTTAGGTTTTGTGTTTAAGAGCACAAGTGCATGTTATTTAGCTAAAAAACACACAAACTATAGCTAAACAACACATGGTGCAATGTTTRTTTCAAAATAAATWAAAAAAATGCAGCTTTATTGACTAGCTGATAAAAAAATTATTAAAACTATAAATAAATAATGTATTRTAAATTTCTTCTTTTTTCTTAGCTTAGGACACACCTTGTTTTCCCCTCTCTCTGACCTTGGTTAGCCTGTCAGTAACTCCTGTACTAGAACAAGTTAATGAGAACTCCAGTGCTAAAATAATAATAGTAATAATAAATCTATTATATTTATTTACAAATATTTAGGTTGCCATTGTATTGAAGGCAGATTTTGTTTATAGTAGCTTTAGGGCTGCATCAAATTGCTTTTCTGTCGACCCGGAAAAGGAACTGTAAAGTTTTGTACTGTAAATATTATGTAAAGTCACATTGCAGTCACTCTCATTATTCATATTTATTACGCAATTCATTTGCTGAAAAATATGTGGAATATATGAAACTGAAGAGAAACTTGTCAATGGCTAATTTTAATAAGRAAAACATATTTTGTTACCTCTGTAGCTCACAGGGACAGTCCCTGTCAAACTCATCAAGTCTCTTGAAGACCCATCGTTAAAGACTGAAATACACACACACACACAAAAAAAAAACTGCAGATCAATACTGATGTGTAAACAAAACATACACACAAAATCAAGAGCTAGTAGCTTACCATAAGCATCCATAACCGGCTTCAGATCCTTGTACTGGGAGATGACATTGGTTATTTCTCGGACGGTCAGATCTCGATATTTGTATTGCTGGACAAGAAAAAAGAAAGGAGTAGAAATAGAAACATGTTAGTAAAATTCAAACTCAAGACAAAATTGCTGACATTAAATTAGCCCCAGAAAAATGAACCAAGGAAACAGGACGTTTGGTGCTTATGTACAGTAGTAGTATATTTTGTAAAGTGGATTTTCGGGTCTGCACACATRACTGTGTTCTTTCAGACACAATGATTATGTAAAACATATCCTGGTTCCTAAAGACCAGTTTATGAAACTCTTTGCGTAAATTTAATCAGAATGAAACAAACATTGAGGCAGAAAAGTACTTTTGTTCCTTATGTGTGTTTTTTTTTATAGCACAATTAGTTTACAGTATTTCTATAAAATATCCTATAAGTAAACCTCTATGTTAATCAAACATATTGAGGGAAAAAAAGGTATATAAAGAGCTTTTTTCTACGAACACCTAATCAGAAAATGCTAACGTATTTACATYAGATCCTAACTTTAGCTAACTGTGTGACCCACGACGTTCGGGCTTACCTTTAGCATTTTCTTAAGGGCGCCTTCGTTGACAACCGCCATGTTTTTCAAAAGTGTCTTTATCTGTTCTCGTTAAATTTTGAAGAGACAGAAAAAAAAATACTTTTACACCAGCTGGATTGAAAACTAACAAACTGACGGCTCTAGACTTGTGAATGCTAGGCTATCGGTTAGCCCAGCCTCGAGCCGACTGAGATTCAGATTATTTAGAAATCTTCCAGCTCACTACAGGTAATATATCTGTGTCACACGTCAAAAGTAGATTAAAGAATTACTAAAATAGAAAAAGGAAAGAATAGAAAATGTACAGTTCTACAAAGCGATAAGTATCCGTCCGATGATCAACAAAAGACACTTCCGGGAGTGCTATTACCATTTCCGGTGAGCTGTTGTCTTACGTGGGGCGGAACCAAACACCAATAACCTAAACCTAAATTTAGATATTTATTATTAATATATTTATTTAATATGGGATTTATCACCCTGTCAATGTCAGAGAGGTACATCAAAATGTATGTATTTTTGCCAAAATAATATAATCATTGAACAGCACATTTAAAGTTAAAATTTTTATTTTATTTACAAAAAAAAAAAATACAATTGTTCAAGTAACTTTAAAGTTGAAAGAAAAAACACTTATTTACACGGAAACACAAAATGTGCTTCCCGCATGACTTTTCGTTTTTGCCACACACACACATATTAATGTAGGCCTACGTTATTCCTCAAAATTATTGGTTTAAAGTTCCATATCGTTTATTTAAAGAACTACCACAGTAAACATGGCTTACAAGAATGTACGTTCAGTTTATCCTTGCTGTCTTATTAACAAAGTTAAATAATAATTTAAAAAAAMACATTGATTTCTATATACATTATTTTAGGTGTGTCTTTTTTATTGGTTCAAAGTCCAAATGATGGCCAGAACTGGTCTTGTTCAAATTGCTTTATGATCCACGTGTAAAGCAATTTAGGCTGGTTAGGACAAAGGAGATTTGAGAAGCTAAAAATCTTTATATAGTGCATTTCCCACAAAAAAATAACGTTTTAATTTGATACTTTTTGATGTTTAACAGCAGTACACATTTCAAAAACTTGTAAGCTTTATTTTTGGGAGGGAATGATTTTTGTCTCCTTTGAATATCAGCAGGTAAACATCGTAAGTTACACAACTTTTTAACAGATTTCACAAGAAATTAACAATTGGTTTCATTTTCATTTTCAAAAGGCTGACCATCATCCATGGCCACAGGCAAATAGTCGTTCTCATCAGATTGCCTGTACTGCTGCCCACCTAAAAACAGAAGACAGACATTTTCCAATAAATAACATTTGACAATGAGTATTTCATCAGTGATAAAAACGTTCTTTAATTCATGGTTTTGTGTAGATGTGTGGTTGCAACCTGCGTGTGCCCTACTTACAAGAGGCTTGTTCATGTTCTGGATGAGGCTGTCTCATACACACAGGTGGAAACTCTCCAAACATGGCAGCCATTACTTGMAACAGGCTCACCAAGTCACATTCAGTCTATAATAAAAGCAGATGGCTTCATATAACATCATACTGCTGTAAAATGATTTAGAGTTAAACATTAACCTGCATGMTGTTTAGTGTTTTTGACATAGCCATGTCATACAAACATATATTAGACATTGTTTCAATTCTTACACGCCATTCTTTTAAGTAGGGCAGCTGGATTTCCCCGTCGTTTGTGACATATTCTCCTTTGACAACCATCATCTCCTGTGTGGGTTTTACATAGCAAATGGGAACAGACTGAGGGTAGTTTGGCTCAATCCAAACACATATGGGAATGTTGTAGGTCATGCCTTATAAGCCAACAGAGAACAGACATTCAGACAAAATTAGATTTCTATGACGTAAAGTTCACACTAATTTATATACAAAAAAAAAAAAAACATTTTTTGCACAAAGTGGTAAATTTGTTACCTTTAATCATGGTAGGAATTGTCCCTGTAACACTTATCATTTTTTTTCTGGTTCCATCATTATAAACTGTAAAAAACACAAAAAAATCATTTCTGAAAATACTGTTTCTACAGTTGAATTAGAAATGTGAGACATTATTTCATTACATACCAAATTCATCCATCACAGGAACCAGGTTTTTGAAGTAAAATAATGCAATGTAAATTTGATCAGCCACATATTTTCGCAAATATGCCTTTTAAAACACAAAACAAGCCAAAAAAAAGACCTTTAATACACAATTCAAGACACTAATTGTTTGTTGGCTCAGTAAAAGTTGAAGTTTTCAAGTAGCCAGAGATGATTATCCTTACCTTAGGAAGCATTTTCTTTATTGTATTCCGACTAAATGACATGGTTATTAGTGTTTTCTAAAGAAAAAGAAAAGAAAAAGAAACRCTGTCTGAGTTCGAGCCACTCAGTACTTTGGTTTCTTTCCATGAGGGACAACCTCCAACTTTTTACAACCCTCGAAAGCAGGAAGAGAAAACCGTTCCATAAATAACCACACTATCTGGTTTACAAAAACAAAAACTACTGTGTCCTACACAAACAAGTCAAAACAGGTTTCAAGTCATAAATGAAAATATTCATTATACTGAATTAGGTCATCACCAGCTGTAATACAATAAACTGAACGTCCAGATTCTGTTGTGAAAATGTAACATTTCCAGTTTCTTTATACACATTTGAATTAGTTTAATGGATTCATGTATATGTATTAATAAATGTACCTTTTATTGATATAAAATATTTATTTTCAAAACCTCTTTTTAATTATAAACTTCAATCAATCTTTTTGGTTTACCATCTTTCTCAATTCTACCAATTCGATCCTWGTATTGGTCAAAAATAATCAGTTTCCCTGTTTTAGAGCTTTAGTTACAGCTTTGTTTCAGATTTGTTTTAAATAGTGGTATTTAGTTATGAAAAATGATGCGTTATCACCATCTTATACCATAATGTTACCATTAAATTTCAATATTTTTATTTCATTTTGTTTAGGCAAATAAAAGTTTTTCATAAGCATAGAAAAAAAATCTTGCAAAAACACGATGCTACCAGATTTAGGATGGTCCTTTAAAATTTTACAGCTGAACTTGCCCACCCTGCTCTTCTTCAAAAAAATAATACATAAAACGTCCTGTAGGTGGCAGCAAATCTAACATTTCAGGAATAAAAAAAAACCGACTTCTTCAGCTTGACATGTTTATTATTATTTGTCCTGCAATACATTTGCCACATTTTCAAAGGGTAAATACATCTTAAATAGTGATACAGCTGACATTTTCACAAAAATCTTTCTACACCTCTAGTCCACACAGTTTGCANTCCCCTCCCCACCCCTCCCCCCCAGAGGTTCACATAGTCCTTGTCATGCTGGCCAGGACTCCTGACACGCCTGTTTTCTTGTGTTTCTTGTGGGGGTGTTCACTGGCCAAGTATTGCAACAACATGCTGCTCTGAATGCATAGGTTTGAGGGCTGTTATAATATCAACATGAGTGTACTGTTAAAGGATTGAGAGGAGAGGCACACCACCACGTCTGTTATTAAAGGTCACAAAAACCATTTCTTTTCTCCATTATAAATGTATGAAAACAAAACAAAAAACAAAAAAAAGTCAACACAGCCAAAAGTGGGGCCCGATGAAGAACCCCTTCATCGTTTCAGTCATTTTTAAACACAAGGCTTTTTTTTAAAAACAATATCTAAAGACTAAAACACGTTCACAGTTTGTGGATTTTCTCCAAGCTGAGAAATAAAACGGTTAACCAAAAAGCAGGTTAACCAACATGGTCAATTTTTAATTTTTTTCTCCCCCACAAGCGGTTACTCATTTAAACTGTACAAGATCGTGACATGAATACAATCTGGCTGAAAGGACACAACAGCCAAACGGTTGATGTCTAAATTTTATTAATCTGCCTATAGTGACTAAATCATCTCTAATGTCCAGGTCAGTTTAATAGATCATTTAACGCAATTTCTGCTAAATAACTTCCACTGCCTGCTCTAAGGAATTTTGACATGTTTTATACCGTTTTTTTATTACATCAATATATATTCTGTTTTTAACAAAATCATTTCAAGACAGATGCTATGAGAGAGCAAGCAAAAGAATATGTTTAGTGTTTTTTAGTTGTTTTTTTTTTCTGTGCAGTGCTTTCATATATTTCTGGTTGTGCACATAAACAAAACAGCAGCAAACATCATCTGGGGTCAAGCTTGCTGCTAACATGAGGTACAGACTAGCTAAAAGATAAGGCAAAGTAAACACATCAATCATATTTTAGGCAGCAAATGAAAATCCGTTACAGAGARCACAAGCCTCTGAATATTAAAACAAATTCAAGCAATGCACTCGCCCCCAGCACAGGATCCAGGACCTGCCGCAGACAATATTCCCCACGTGTACAGTAAATATGGTTTGAGAAGATTAGCACCTGACTTGTTATTGCTCCTTTAAAAGAGCAATAGGTGGAAAAGAATAAACAGCTTGAGGATAGAATGGTGTGTGTGGAAAAAAAACAAAGTTCTGAGGCAGGACTTGTGTGTCTGCAAAACCAACTCACGACATACCAGAACTATGAGATGAGACTGGACCTTTTAATACCTGAGCCTTATCTAAAAGAAGTAAATCCTGCAGTCTAAACTAAAATATTACCCTCCTGTAAAAAACAGTACAGATACTGGAATAAAATACAGTCTTTTTGAAAAAYTGCCATCAGTCTCTGAGGCTTCACTAACAGCAAAGATCACAACTAGGTTTCCGCGCACTGCTCCTTTCCGTCTAAACCAAGGTGAAACAGTAAAGTAASTTGTCAGAGAAGGTTTATTTCCAATGCTTGGTGTAGTTACGATACAGTAAAGTTCTATTGCGCCAGAACACTAGCCGTTACAATTATTATTTTGCAAATATTTCACAATAAAAACGATCTGTAAAAAGTGACGACAGAAACTCGTCCATCTCCGTTACCCTCTTTCAAAACTTCAGTTAACTCAGGATGGGTGATACAAATATTAAACCAGGTACTGTCTTAGGAGAAAAAAACACACTTCTATACTTGTAGTGATCAATGCTTTTCAACTCTACCAATCACAAGCCCAAACAATTCATACCAGAAASCAAATCAAAGTTGTTGTTTTTACAAATTAGGCTAACTGGCAAAGAGAAACAGAAAAGTATCCCATAAGAGCTTCCACTCCCTGCATCCAGTACAATTCCACATCTTTGATGCCATTTGAGTAAACCCTGTGCAGGTAGAATGGRGGTGGATTATTTATGAGATGTGTGAGAAAAAAAAAACCAAAWTGTTTATTCCAGTCCTTTCCATTTCAATCAGTTAGTCCTTCCAGGTTTGATGCAGGTTGGGGGGTGAGGAATTAGGTTTCAAGGCAAGAAAGAGGTAAGAGACTCCCCCTCTTTGCAACCAGTGTTGAGACCGAAAACAATAAGTTAGCAGGAAATACGTGGAGAAACCCAGCTCGATCGCATCATTAGTGGCATTGCTCACAAATCGATGTGGCCCAACATAAAAAAAAAGAAGAGACCAGCTCAAACCAGTTCAGCCAGCCACTTAGGCAACAGTCCAAAAATCCTCTTTTTCACAAGAGTCTCTGCTTCAGTCAGCCGTGGTGGTTTCCTTCAGAGCTTTTGCTTCAGTCATCCTGATTGACAAAGTTCATATTTCATTTTTAGGTTGTTTTTTCTGTCTGTCATCGAGTCCATGCTGCCACTTCGCTCTGTAGCATTTCTCCTCAACATGTAATGGAGAACTGGGCGGGAAAAAAGATGGCAAAGACATCAGTTTTTATTGTTTTCTAAGAAAGTGACATAATTTTTTGTTTTAAAGGAGACATATCATGTTTTTAACTTCTTCCTTTTCAGTTGGGGTCTATTAAAAGTAGAACTGCAGTGCTTTAGTCTGATTCCCTCTATTTTTTATCTCCACAAGCCCCTCTTTCACCCCTTTTCTGAGGTGTGTCTCAGATCAACTCGTTTTGAGGCTGTCTCTTTAAATCCCAATGAGGCGCTTCACACCCCGACCCCCCTCCAGCTTTCAGACCGGTCCATTCCAGTTTGATAGAGGACTTCACAACTACACAGTGGCGCAGAAACATTTTATTTACARATTAATTAAAAGCCGTTAACAACAGAAGACTTGTCCATCCAGCCTTACATGTTGGAGCCAGGGGAGAATGAGGATGACCAAATTGTAGTTGGCAAGTCCAAAAACTGTGATGTATTACTTCAGAAGTAGTCATTTAAAATATAAAAAACAGAACGGGTTAAAAAATACGACCTAAACGGAATATAAAAATACCTACAAAGCACCAGGAGAGACTAAAACTCAACTTTTCTGCACTCCTAGAGACACAACAAAATGTATTTCACTGCTAAGAAAGTGGATTTTGCATGATATGTCCCCTTTAAAACATTCAAATATGCAGTCAAACCTAGTGCTATGTACAGTATATTGAGGTTACAGCATGACAAAGCAGTTTAGTGACTCTTTCAGAGAATGTAATGTCTCACCTGCTTCACGATACCACACATCGACAACTCATACAGTCCTGATCGCTCTCATCGGGTGGGTTCAACTTCCTCAACTTATGTTGTCTTATCTCCCTTACTAGAGTGTAGAAAGCATCCTCTACTCCCTGTAAAGACAAAAAAAAAAGATCTGAATACTTATGGAATCGCTAATGGGAAATGTCCCAGCTGTACACACCACTTAGTAAAATTACATTTTAGACACCAGTTAATCAAGAATCCTAGATGACTGAAGATAAAGGAGAAATGGATTTTGTGCACTTTCGTTGAGTGACAGGGATTCTGCAGGTTCAAGTATGGATAGGTGTCTGAGTGTGTASATAATGTGACAGTGAGTCACAGACAGTGGGAGCCATGCAGCAACTAGTCCTTACGAGACCTTTCAAGCACTGTAGCTCTATGCTCAAGGTAAGCGTGCCATGAGTCATAAAATGTTCTCAGCAACATAAATTACATCATAACACAAGACATAAACTGTTCTTTATGTGCACCAACATGGCTGTGAAAATGCAAAAGCCAAAATTAGAGCCCTGCAATAATTTTTGTTTTAAGGCACAGGGCTATTTGTAACTTATAAAGTTTAAAGTCTAGATGAACAGGATTTTACCACGTACCTGTCGTGTTTTGGCAGAGGTTTCAATGTACGGGATGCCATAGGAGCGAGCCAACTCTTGGGCTTGCCTTGTGTCCACTGTGCGTGCCGGGAGGTCACATTTGTTTCCCACGAGCACCATGGGTACATCATCGGAGTCCTTCACGCGCTTAATTTGTTCCCTATGAATGGGAAAAAACAGAAAGTTGCAATCGTTGAGATCTCATTTGACAATTTGTCTTTCTTTCCCCTCCAACTTGTCCAAGCACTGTAACGGGATCCTCCCAGCTCTGGAAACAATCACAGCATCTCTACTGGAGACCCAACCACCCAGGGAGCTTTAGGACCCAGTGGTAGAGCCAGAGCTCGTCTGTGCTTCACTGCTGAAGAAAGGACGGTGGGGAGAAATAGAGAGGGTGGGGGGATAGACAACAGCCGGGCAGCAAACAGCATTACCTCATCACTACAGCAGCAAGTGCCAAACAGCATGCAGACAGAGGGAACAGAGTGAGAGGTGTGGGTCAGAGCAGTCTCAGTCAGCCACACTGAAGCAGGATATCTGCTGCTGTTAGCCAGGCTCATGTTTAATCACTGCTTACACTGATTGGAGCCTAGCCCAAGTTTTAACACAACTAAATGTATGACTTATTTGCTGGTCGAATAGGTTACAAAAGTGGTGGGTTTACATAAACACTAACACCATTCTTAAATGATTATATTTGTTAAATATTCTTGGCCAGGCTAAAGCATTGCATCATCATGTGGAAACAACTTTCTCTTTAAACACAGATAAGAAATATTTTRATATTAGATCAGCTCTAACTGGATGACCATTGATTCTAAGCCCATTTAAGCTTGCACACAATGCACTAACAGTTGAGCCAGGTTTATAAAAGGCTGKGCTGCAATTGAAGCAAACCAAGCGATATTTATTTCACACAGAAACACTGAAAAACTGTGTGATTTGCTTCTCAACACAGAACCCCTTTTAGCTGAGACACACGAGACTGGCAAATGATTGTCTAATGTGACAAGAAAAACAAAATTCGGCAGAGATAAAAGAGCACTGTCATCTCCAGCTGAAACTCTCCACCCCCTTCCTTTCTCCTTCCCCGTCCTTGGTAGCACTACCTCTGCCTGCTCCTCTAATTGAGTCAGGATCAATTTCATCGTCATCGTGCCGTAAGCCTCCAGTTGGGGGCTAAGCTTTCTTTAGCTGTGTTAAACGCTACAGCATGACATCACCCCACGACTGCAGAGAGCTGGCGCACACACACACACACACGTTTACATACCCCTCTCCTGCCAGACCACACACGAGTCCGTTTAATGCCCCGCACATTCACTGACACATGTAGAGGAGCTAAAAGGAGCGGCGGCGGTTGATTTTGTGACTCGACGTTTGCGTCGTTTGTGTATYCTCTTTAACACACCTGTACTGGTGTATGTCCTCGAAAGACTTGGTGTTGTTGATGGCAAAAACGCAGAGGAAGCCCTCCCCYGTTCTCATGTACTGATCCCTCATGGCGCTGTACTCTTCCTGACCCGCAGTGTCCAGAATGTCCAGCAGGCAGGTCTCCCCATCGATCACCACTTGCTTTCGGTACGAATCCTGCAGAAAAAAAAAAAACAGGGTTCCCACACCTTGGTCAACATCAAATTCAAGGACCTTTCAAGGACTTTCCAGTACTAATTTCCTCAAATTTAAAAACCACGCGCTATGGCAATTACCTGCTGCTACCGCAGAATGTTACCAATGAACAGGTTTAATGAAAAACTGAACAACATGGAAGTTGTTGAGTCAGAATCAATGAAAGAAAGTGGATTAAATGTATACCCTACATTTATATCCACAATATACRGACATGTAATTGTGTCCTGGGAGGTTGGGCAGCTCAGTTTGGGAGGAGGGGATGTGAACATGTCCAGACACTCGGTGAGGACAGGAGGAGCTGTGSTGCTCTCACCTGGGCTTAGAAAGACCGACCCTCCCTCCTCTGCTCTGATTGGCTAAAACTATGACTATGGCTCACATTATTTGTTGAAAGCCACGTCAGTTTACAGTAATCCTGAGTTATCCACGCAAGTTTTTTTTATTTCATTATTAATATTATTATTTATTATTATTATTTACAGATGATGAAAATCAGTCGTGAACAGAGAACTTCAATCCCCAAAAAAACGTTCAGAGACTTTCAAGGACAAGTGTAATTTTTGGCTGTTTTCACAAACTTTCCAGGGCCTTGAAATTATTTTTTCAAAATTCACAAACTTTCAAGGATTTTAAGGACCCGTGGCAACCCTGAAATAAGAAGAAAGAGAATCTTAGAGCRGAGTAGCAAACATTCCTCACAGAAAGCGGTGGAATTTGACGCAGCTCGTGGAACGTCCACGCTACTCGGCTGAAACCACACGCATTTGCGCGCAGTTTAGGGAAATGCTGCCACGTTTGATTGGCCGTGCATTAACCTGCGTTGGTTATTACGCAAAACCCATGTCCTCTTTTAGACTGCGTGAAACACAAGAGATCAGAGGAGCGGGGTATCAGAGCCAATGTTTGGCCTTCCAACATGCAGTCACAAAAACATGGAGTTCTGTCCCTTTGTTTGTTCGAGCACAGGGGCCAGGAATGCAAATACACAAAAAGGACATTGTCTGACCAGGGACAGGCGTGGTGAGAAAAAGAGGGAGAGAGGGGAGGCAGAAAGGCAGAAAAAGTGAGAAAAGACAGAAAAAAATACCCTCACTCTGCTTGTTATTTATTTTACTGCTAAATTAAGCTAAAAAGTGTGAAGCGAATATTTTGGAAGGTCACCAAAACATTCAGTTAATTTAATTAACAAACATTTGGTACAGACTGATCTCTCGTCTCAGAAGGGTGTGCAACATACTCCTCATCTCAGAGTTTAGTCTTTAAMCTTTACAAGTGAATGAACGACGTGCACATCTCCCGTTAAAAGCAGAAATGGTWYGACGACAAAAGCGATTCGAGTGGGAATAATTCCATTTTTTTTACATCACGATGAACCTTCGCCCCMTCAGCCCTAATACGAATCCCGCAGGAATAATGAGCAGAATAAGCTGAAGAGCGTCATACCTCTATTGTGGGGTCATATTCATCCACAAAGTGGTTCTGGATGAGCTGAATGGTGAGTGCACTCTTGCCCACGCCTCCTGCGCCCACCACCACCAGCTTATACTCCGTCATTTCTGTCCACCACACAACACTGCAGGAGAGAGGAAAAGAACCAAAGAAAGCAGGTTAGCACACTGACCAAAATAAAGACAGTTTTGAGCAGCTATGCACTGCCACAGTATGATTTACAACAGACAAACGATCTCACAGCTCAGTGGTGAGAAACATCAGTGTTTCACATGTGCTGGAGGGAGTTTTCAGAGGGGGCTGAGGTTGAGACCCTCAAAGGGGAATGAGAAAAATGCTGCTGAAGGTACTCAGTGTTCTGATTCACTCTACCTCTCAGTGTGAGCAGCAGCAGAAAGAGAGCCCGAGAGAGGGGGAGCTGAGGAGGCAGCAGGAGGAAGGAAGGAGAGGCACGACGCCRGCAGACATCCCTTCTCCAGTCAGGCTTTATGTTACTCACATCTACGTTTTCACTTTCAGTGACTGACGCCTGAGCTAAACATGTCAATACAATTATACCACAAAACAATACACAATTAGTACAAAACACAAAGAGTTCAACAAACAACTGGGTCAAATTTGAGTTTGTTGACAGCCAAGACAGAATACTGCTTCAACATTTTTTGTGTTATTTATTGTAAAAGAGCCCCAAGAAATTAGATCCAAGCGCTGCCTGTTGTGGACCCCATAGACCAACTAAATATGTCTCTCTGGTACTTTTCGTGTAACACCAATAAACACAACCTTTGCAGTAAAATCTGCAGAMAATTAAGAAAATCAAAACCCAAACAGAAAAGGATCTTTAGGCTGGTGTGTAAAATGTAAATTCAAATATTCAAAATCAAACACAATTGTGCATTTTTTTTTTACCAAATTATAAAGCTTGAAGCCATTTCTTTGTTTTCGGATGTACAACCAGCAAAGGGGCTGGTGGTTAGTGTCGGGCAATATTGGCAAAAAAAATTTTTTTAATCACGATTAATTGTGGCATTTAGCCGATAACAATATGATTATTACYGGATGACAGTTGCACTTGAATGTAGCCTGGTCCACATTCTCTGCTTTCCTCGTACTCTGGTGTAAGTCGGGGTTTCGGATGATTAAACGCGTTCGTAGGGTTTGGGTTAGCGTTAGCATTAGCTGCTMTGCAYTGCCTTCSACCATAAAGCTCACATGCACACTTGAAAGTAAAAGTGTGTCATACGTCCACACCAAGGTTATAATAGTCTTGGATTTTTCATTATAGTTTAGTTTTATTTTGTTGTGACTTTTTTCATTTTAATTCGGTTTTAACTAGTTTTTATGGTGAATTAGCTATTTTTTATTAGTTATTATTGCATTTTTAATGCTTAGTTTTAGTTTTTATTTGTTCTAGTATTATTTTTTATAGTTTGAAAATATTTGCCATTGCATCCTCAAGCTTGTAAAGCTGCCCACAGCTAATGTGAAACTACTAGATTTGAAAATAAATAAAGATCCGCATGTCTCAAAATAAATTGATAAACACTAAAACTAAGGAYATTCTGTCTATAATTTCAKCTTGTTTTGTAAAAAGATTATACAGTTTTAGTTAGTTATTGKTTTTTCATTAGTTTTTATTTATTTCAGTTAACTAAAATGTTTTTTCAATTTCAGTTTTTTTATTTACCGTAGTTAGTTAACTATAATAACTCTGGTCTGCACATGGCGCTAACTGCAGCAATTGCAAAGTGGCAAATATTAATTGTTGACAGCTTTTCTGGGGAATAACTGCACACRATACAATTTTGCCCAACCCTACCTGTGGCTGGCATTTAGCAAGAAAAAATTAACTGCAAACAGAAACCAATGTGCACGCACACACACACTGATGTCAACCCATCAACACTACTGTGAAATTCCAGGTTGTAGCTCAACAAGTTGAGAAAAATACTTCCATAGGTGCTTTCCACAATATTATGTAGTACAGTGTGACTCAGCTTACTGGAAAAAAATCTAACAAATCCATGACTTGTAACTGACCTGAAACCAGCCAAGGGAAACACAGTGAATCAGACATAAAGAGATAACTCCCTCATGAAGGTTTTGCAAGTCTAAACCCAGTTATAGGGAGTTGGCAAGTGATGCCATCATGAGTTCATCTCAAATTACATACTTTAGAGGGAAATACCTAGAAAGACCTAGAAGTGATAAAGTAGCAGCTCTGAGTGCCTGCACAACTAGTTTCTCTTTTGGTCTGTCAGCAGTTATTCAAAAAGACACTTTTACTACCAAAATAAAAAAAACAGACATTTCAATGTCTAATTTTAATCYTTTTTTTTTTGCTTTGTGTAGCAAATTATAGTGAACTGCATCCACCTTTGACACAAACATGCAATAATTACAGCACAATCCTATTTTGCAATTTCACTGTTTTGACTGTCCCACCCTAAAGCCCAAGTCCAGCATTAAATTCAACATCATCGCTTGTTTTTTTCTTCTTGTAATTCAAACAAAGCCATTGGAAGTGATAAACATCACATATGGTTGAACATGCTCATCACCTTGCTGAATGCTCTGTAAGAGGGTTGAAAAGTAAAAAAAAAAAAAACCCATTAACCCACACCACCTGCTACTGTTTGTGTTCAGAACATTAGGAAATCATTAACACTACAAGTTTCATACTGTATGTGGGTTTGCCTGTGGCGGACAAAGATACCGTATCATTCATTTGAAACACATGTCCGCCTGAAGAAGTCTGAGCAAAAAACACCCACCCTCTTGCACTTTAACTCCCAAAGATGTGTGCACAAAGCTGGAGTTTTTGAAAATGTTTGTAAAATTGTTTGTAAAAAGAGTATCAAGTCTCACAAACCCAACGTCTGGAGAGGTTTTTTTTTCAAAAGGATAACATGGAATTAAGCAAAAACAAAACACATTTTTTGTATAAAATATATCAAACAAACGCAACCCTAACCCTGAAAAGTAACTCACATCCTGTTACAGTTATTTCTGGGTGTGGTGTAGAATCCTCATGCAAAAAGTCTTATTCGAGTCTGAATTATCAACAATCACGATGCGGGGCAGAATAACATTAGACTACAGCAAGAATGATGTTAATGACTGACAAAAAAGCCGAATTGAGGACTTCGAATTGAAGAATTAGACACTGTCATTTAATCCCAGTGATACTAAGAAATAAAACAAAAAATTAAAGTAAATTATACCATCGCTTTCATCAATAGTAGCTATACTTTGTGCCAACAATGACCTCACTGTAAAAAAACCTGAAATGGAGGAGAAATATAATAACTTATCAACATTAAATTTTACCAGATTATAGCTTTATAAGCCAGCTTGTGCAGTGCAGCCTGAACCAGAACTTAGCGGGGCTCAGAGCATCCTGTGCAGGGCCAAAGCTATTTGAAAGGCACAGTTGTGGCCAAGGTGTTTTTTTTTTTTTTTTTTTTATGGGGGCACATACAAATAAAGAAAATCACTCTGGATTTGAAGTTCAGGAAATTCAAGATGGCCACCACAGCTAATATTCCAAATGGCTTTAATTCAGCTGTTTACAAAATATTAAGCTGAAGTTTTGTCTGATCATAGCTAAGAATGATCCAAAAAAACTCGATGAATGCTGGTC